GCTGCTGGTGAGGTAAGCGTGTGATCCCTCATAACCCATAAGCCCCGCCCAGAACTCAGACACAAATCGTAAGTGAGATGAGTGGTCACTGTGTACCCAGTCTGTAACAAAGTAACAAAGGACGTCAACATGAACTTGTTACAGAAGCGTCGCTCGTTCTCCGAGTGGTTGCGAACCGTGTGTTAGCTTTAACATGGCACTCGGTCTTCATTGTCTTATACATTTCGTTTTATTGTCACCCTTGTGCAAAATCAGCGACAAAATAAAAATTACAAACGAAATACAAACCAACAACAACACCAACAAAGACAACATAATGGGGCTTCTTTCGATTGGGGCCTCAGATGGGAATGGTTTGTTTTCTTTATCTTGACCAGTCCTGCCTAAGATGGCCACCTGTCTTATACGGTCACTTTTCTCCTTGACAATGGGTGGCCGTCTTACACAGGTTTGGCTGTACTGCAGTTTGACCCCCGAAGCAGTGCATGTGTGTGCGGGAGTGAAAGTAAAAATTTACCATGTGAGTTGGGAGATTGATGCAGGGCCTCGATCTGTGCATCTAAAAATCAAGCATTAAAAAGTCCCGATCCTGTTCTGAAATTGATGTCGCAGAGATGCAGCTTGTCATGGCAGTTTGCATTTGGCCACATCCATGCAATTTCAATCAGCAAAACAATTATAGGCCCTATTACAACTTTAATGTAAAGCACTTCAATTTTTGAATGGCCTTTCTTCTGAGCTTTGTAAATTTCATGTTTTTATGAGGGTATGCCTCGTTCACTCATTACTTAGGCTACTTTGTTTTTCTTTTCAGAAATTGTCTGTCCGTCACCGCCATCAGTTGATCATGGAAAGTTTGAGCCTTGTGATAAAACATCTACAGGGTCCAAATGCCCTTTGAGCTGTGACTCTGGCTATGTTGTAGAAGGTAATGCAGATGTGGAGTGTAAGTCTGACAAGAAGTGGACTTCTCCTGGCAGATGTAAAGGTATGAAGCCCATGCCCACCATTTTGTTGTTGTTGTTTTTTGTGGGGGTTTTTGCTTATGAGCACTATCCTAGACTCTTAAAATAGTACTTACTTACTTTTACTTTTTCCTTCCTCTTGTATCCTTAGGATGTTGAGAGGAGGTGCAAGTTTTGGTCTTGTGCTATGTTTGTAGCGTCTGTGACAGATATGTTATGCTGTTCCCGGACCTTTTTAACCCCATCCAGCCAGGTCTTTCTTGGTCTTCCTCTTGATTTGAAGCCGGATTCTTGGGTGTTGTAAGCTCTAGCTGCTAGTTGTTTCTGGGGCATTTTGGTTAGATGTCCAAACCATTTGACTCTTTGACACAGTATAAATTTTATTACTGGTGATATTCCAGTTTGTTGACGTATGGTTTCGTTTCTTATGCGATCTGTTCTGGTGGCATTGATGGTTTTGCAGAGACACATAATTCCATATGCACTGATTTTTCTTTCTTGTGCCTTGTTTAGAGACCATGTTTGGCACTGGTATGTTAATGAGCAGGGGTGCTAGCTGGTAGGTCACTGCATTTGCCTTCATAGTTCTTGTTTCTATTTCTTTGTCCATACGCCCATCTTGTGTGAAGATGCTCCCTAAATATTTAAATTCCTCTATTTGTTGGAGTTGTGTTCCATCAATAAGAATGTTGAGTTTCCCTGAGTTTCTGCTGACCTTCATAACTTCTGTTTTTGAGATGGAGATTTTCATGTTCAGGTGTGTACATTCCTCATTTAGTTTTGTGGTGTGCTTTTGTAATTCCTCTTCATCTGTATTTAATATACTCTGGTCATCAGCAAATAAAGCTTGTTCAGTTCAGTGATGTTGTCATTTGCTGCTTTCGTGATCTTATCCCTGTAAGTGATGAAGAGAAGCGGAGAGAGAACACACCCTTGTCTCATCCCAGACCTGATGGGGAACCATTCCGATAGTCCTTCTGTTGGTCTTACAGCACACAGGCTGTTTTTATAAAGTGCCATGATATTCTCCAGCAATTGTCCTCTTACACCATATTCCTCTAAGACTTCCCAAAGTTGACATCTATCTACCCGGTTGAACGCCTTTTCCTGATCCACGAAGACGATATTGAGGTCTTTGTCATGTGCTGTGGCAGTCTCACATAACTGTCTGAAGGCGAAAATAGCGTCAGTACAGCCCCTGCTTTTTCTGAAGCCGAACTGTGATTCATTGAGTTGAGTCTCTACAATTGGTCTCATTCTCATTTCCAGTATCTTGGAAAACATTTTCCACACAAGGCTGAGAATGGATATTCCTCTGTAGGGTCTGCAGTCTCTTTTGTTACCTTTCATTTTCCAAATGGGTACAATGACAGCTCGTTGTCAGTCATCAGGTGTTGTTTTTGTCGCCCAGGCCAGGTTGAATATCCTCCATGGCAAGAGTTCACCGATATGGCCGCTTAGCTTGTTCTCTTCTGATGTGATGTTATCGATGCCTAGCGCTTTTTTGTGGGATTTTTCTTTATAACATGTCCGGCACAATCAGCACATCACAGGCAGGATTCAGGAAAGGTAAAAGAACTATGGATCACCTCATCAGATTTGCCCAGAAGACCAGCGATGCCTTTCAAGATAAAGACAATGTTGTGGCTGTCTTCATCGACCTGAGGCAGGCGTACGACTGTGTGTGGAGACAGGGACTGTTCTTTAAAATGCAAAAGCTTGGGATAGCAGGAAGGGTGTACAGCTGGATCAAGAACTTTCTGCCTTGCAGAACTATCCAGACATCATGTGACAGCAAGATTTCTTCACAGAGGACACTCGAGGAAGGCCTTCCACTGGGGTCAGCACTCAGCTGTACCCTCTTCCTGTTGTTTATGAACGACCTGCCAGATGTCATCTCCTGTCAGAATGCACTCTACGCTGACGACTTGCTCATCTGGAGCAAAGGAAGTGATATGAGAGCACTGAACCAAGCCATCAACGCAGACCTGACTACTATCTCGTCCTACTGCCAGCTATGGAAGATGGAGATCAACACAGACAAGACTGTTTTTGGACTATTTAACCTCAAAAACAAGGTTACAGCAGGTCAGGTAAACCTTAAGATAAATAGAACCAACATCAAACATGAGGACTATCCCAAGTACCTTGGTGTACAACTGGACCGAAAGCTGTCTCTCAAAGAGCACTAAGGGGAGCTGACCAAGAAAGCCACCTCCAGACTAAACCTTCTGAAACACCTTTCATCACTCAACTGGGGAGCTGACAAAGCAACCCTCTGACAACTTTATATAGGGTATATCAGATCTGTGATTGACTACTCCCTACCACTACAATCCATAGCCAGCCAAAGCTCCCTGGCACACCTTGACAGAGTACAGAACCAAGCACTCAGATTTGTTTCTGGTGCGATGAAGACCACGCCTACTAGCGCCTGCGAAATCCACACCAACATAGAACCACTGGACCTCAGAAGAAAGAGTGCTACACTCGAAACCTACGAAAGATTTGTGCGACTAGAAGACACGAACGAAAACAGAAAAATGACAGATGAGTGGGAACCAAGAACACGCATCCAGAAAACTTCATTCATGCGAGAAGCAACAAAACTATTGAAGTTTGACCCACCTGAGAACAGAGAACCAATCACCAACATCAGCAGCGAACCTCCTTATTGGCAAGCACCAGAAATCACAATAAGGACGAGACTTCTAGACCTTCTTGTGACAAGACCACACCAGAAGAAATCCTAAGAACTAGTGCCCTAGAGACAGTGGACTCGTATGCTGAAACCCCTATTCATGCATACACAGATGGATCAGCAACAAACGCTACACCAAATGCTGGATACCGATCCATCATCAGATATCGAAACAACCTTGAAGAGAAGAAGCAGACCCAACTATTTGGCCCATGTGGAACATACAGCTCCAACTATGACGCAGAGAAAGTTGCCATAGTAAAGACCCTGGAGCAGATCATCCAAGACTTTTTTGAAGACGCAGTAACACCTGGGGATGTTGTTGTCTTCTCTGACTCAATGTCAGTACTCCAAGCCGTCGAGGGAGGAGGAGACTACAGAGGTGACAGGAACATTCTCAGCCTTGTAAAACAGATGGGCACTATCTATGGCGTCCGGGTCACACTGCAGAGGGTGCCTGGCCATTCTGGAGTACCAGGGAATGAGACTGCAGACCAACTATCAAAGACTGGAGCAAGCCTGCCCCAGACAGACACAGTCGCCTCTTTACAGGCCTGCAGAGGGATCATCCTAGCCAATAGCAGAGACGAGTGGCTAAACAGATGGGCCAACGCAGAAACAGGTAGATCTCTCTTCGGGTACATGGACAAACCCAACCCCATAGACCCATCGAATCTCTTATGTAGAGCTGATCAGACTTTGATCTTCAGAGCGCGCACAGGACACTTACACACCAACAAGCACATAAATAGAATTAACCCCATGTGGGAATCCCATTGCAGACACTGTGACTACCACGAGGAGACCGTTGAACATCTTCTCCTCCACTGCCCAAACCTGGCAGTTCTTCGACGCAGGCTCCTACACACACCTACAGACTTACAAAGCCTGCTCTACTCTGGCGCTGACCAGATGACAAGGACATGTGGTTACTTGAGGGAGGCATTGCGCTGCCAAGAGCGAAAAGCTCGCAGCTAATGGGATTTGAAAACAACAACAACAACAACAACTTTATAACATGTTGGGTTTCACTGAACAGTAGTGATGGTTCTGGAGTAGTTTCTTTTGGTGTTGTTTCTCCTGTACGATCCAGCAGCTCCTGGAAATAGCGTTCTCATCGTTCTTTAATCTTTGGCTTACTAAAAATAGGATTTCCGTTCTCATCGTTGACTATTTCAGTGGGGTTGAATGGTTCTTCTCGCATCCTCATGCTTTTCACGCTCTTGTAAAACTCTCTGGAGTCTTCTTTACATTTTGTTGCCAGCTGTTTTCCATATGTATTGTCTGGGATCTATTCTTAGCTTCTTTTACTATCTTAGTTGGGGAGGGGGGTGAAATCCTATTCCGGTGTAATTATGGCCAGCTGGCATTAATTGTGATAAATCCGTTTTCTTTCAGATGTGGACCCTCCAGATTTCACTTGCCCGGCTGTCATCTCTTTGTACTCTGAGCCAAAGAAACAGCCAAAGCAGGTCACCTGGACAGTACCTGTGGCCTCTGACAACTCTGGGGAGACTGTCGTGGTCAGCAGTGACCATCAGTCGGGGGATGAGTTTCCCGTGGGCGACACTATTGTGACATTTTCCTCCACTGATTCCTCTGGCAACGAGTATACTTGCGAAACGCCTGTAACTGTCAAGGGTAGGTTGACGCAGGAAGACCAAGTCTTAAAGCTCAGCACCTATTTTGTGTTTGTAGTATGTGTTTTGGCACAGGGCCGTCCGTATTGCCAGCAGAAACAGCGATACAAACTACAGGGAGAAGCTGACTATCAGAAGAGAGAGGAGACGTAAACCAACCACCACAACCACGACATTCCAGTGTCCCCACTGCAACAGACATTGTTCATCCAGGATCGGATTGCACAGCCACATGCTCGTCCACAGATGAGCTGCAGGATTCATCGTCATCTTCGGCAACGAAGGACTACCAACTTGTGTTTGGTATTGTGAGCCACTGTGAATCAATGGATCTACCATTCACCACACGGGCTACTATAAATGTTTATGATTATGTTTATCAGAGAAACGTATTCTTAACAATTTCAACGTGTACGTAACAACTTGGTGACAAAACACATGGCGAAAGTTAAAAACATTGCAGTATAAAATTGGCAGAAATAGAAGAAAAAAAAGAAGGAAAATACTATTTTTATAGACATAATTAAAATGGTAGTGTCAGGTTTACATAAGATACAATAATTCAGAGGTTGCTTCTACGTCGTTTTATTCACCATATTTTATACCAATTTGGACAACTTTACAAACATGCTGTTGTCCTTGAGTGACACCCGGTTTTTGAACTTGGTTTATCATTTCACTGTCATTAAAAAAGATTTTTTAAAACCTGAGCTCACAAGCCAATCAGCTGCTGGAGGATGACTCGTTTGTATACGCTCTGCTTTTGAGGGATGGTTCGAAATCAGAATTTTACATGGTTTAAGGGAGAATGAAGTCACTTGTACCATACAAAAAAAATCCCATTTAATAATTTGTTGGTTTTTTAAAGTGACAGTAAAAATGGTTCCTTTGGTTTTCTCTGCTGTTAGCAATGATACTTTTTTTTCCTTTCTTTGTTTTTCAAGAAGCAAAATCCAATTTTGAATTTCAAAAGCTTATCATAATATATTTCATGTGAAATTCAGCCATGCCAAAACAGACAATCACTAAAACCACTTTAATTTTATTTATGTTAAAAGATGATACAGTCATGCTTCTGTGGAACCTATCAGCCACTTTCCTGAAACTGTGTTGTTCTAAAATAGAATGCTTAACTCTTTTTGTGTTGTCGCTCATGATGACAGTAGTCAACAATTAAACAGGAGTTGCTGAAGCATATCGAGAACGAGGAAGAAGAAGAAGAAAGCTGAAGCATACTTTCTCTTTAACCACCTTTTAAAACAAAAATTCCACAGCTACTTATCTTATTTGATACTTATATTCTTTTTTCTTGACCTAGGTGTAATACAGTTGAAAACCTCAAACATAGAAGTCGTACCTTATCCTGTATAGGCCTACATTTATATGAAAAATGACAGTTTATGATGTTAATCCCTTAAAAGGTTCATAGAGGCCTTCCCATTAAATTAGCCCCTCAGCTTCCTCTTAATGAAACAAACTAAAATAACGTTTGAACTGGTTCTCATCCCCTCCCCAGTGAAGTACTGTGATGTCCTACCGGCACCTGACTTTGGCAGTGTGAGCTGCTCCCACGGTTCGGCCGTAGGTTCCGACTGCTCCATTTCCTGCTCTCAGGGGTTCCAGTTGTCAGGGGTGGCACAGCGCACCTGTCTGGACTCCAGGACATGGAGTGATGCTCAATCATTTTGCAAAAGTGAGCCCCAGGTGGAAGTCTTATTGTTATTGCTTTCTCAAGATATGGATTTTCCTTTTGATTAGGAGCGGGTTTTGGTTTTGGTTTGGACCTGCCCCAAGGTAAAATTTGCTCTTAGTTTATGTTGATGTTCTACTGTGGTACTCCAGAAGTTTTTGCAGGTTCCACTTTCAACCTTTGGGCCCTGGTCCCCTGTGCCTTCTGTGCTCTTGAGTTTCTTCTTGCCAATTGCTAGATCTGCCTGTCCCTACTTGATGCCCAAGCATACGTTTGATTCACTGTAGGGTAAAGTTACTGCACTATCAGGCATGCACTTAGGGCCATAGGGCTACAAAATTATAGGTATATCTTCCTTCCTACATTTATAACTTAAGACTAAATACTTAAGCTTTTAGTCCAAAGATGGCCAGGCTAAACGCTAATATTTATTTGAAAGCTACAGGAAGGTCTTTCATGGCAGTATTTAGAATTTATTTGAATGTTGGTTACAGTTTGATAACTGTCCGTTCACAATTTGTAAGAAGTATGGATAATGGACATTAAGTGTCTCAAGAACATTTGGTAGAGATCATGCAAATTGCGTTCAATTTAGATTTTGATACAGTGGGCTTGTAAGTCCAGAAATGGTATTTTGGTATTTTTCAAATCTGTGTAGCAAGTATTTTTCATATGTTTAAACGTTTAAAAGGGAGCAAAATGATAATCTTTTGTTAAATACAAAAGAACCGAAGACTTCTTCATTCTTTTGGAAACAGGAATCTGTTCAGTCATTCTCAAACAAACAGGCTTCCACTTACGAGTCTACCTTATTGTTTTTCAAAGGAGGCCGTTGTGGTCAAACTCCAAGTGTTGACAGAGGAAATTTCGATTGCCCGAATGGAGATGAATACGAGGACATATGCACCCTAAGGTGTGACTCTGGATATCAGGCCAATAAACCGGTGGCCGTCTCTTGCCAAGTCACTTTACTGTGGACACAGCCTGGGAACTGCACAGGTAGGAGCATTGATGGGAAGTTCTCATGTCTAAACACTTGATAAAATTGTTGAGAGAAGTAGAGAATAGTTACATAAAACACGGTTCACTTTCTAGTGAACTTGTATTTGTATGCATTTTCTTTTCTAAGTTGATTTTCTGAAAAAGATATGCTTGGGCTCTGAGGCTTTCTTTTGAAATGGGATATTGGGGTTTCAATGAACACCCACTAGGGGTACTAGTTCCATTGACCTTAAAACTGTCAGTAAATATCGCCTTTGTTTGGACCATTCTTTGTAGTGCAGATGACTATCTGTGTCGAAAAAGAATGAATATAATATTGTATCTACCAATGTCGATTTCTTTCCAAAGATGATTAATAGGTTTATTAATTCTTATCTTGTTTTATCTAATATCATATTTTCTATCTGACATGGAGGACACTAATTAGCTTTTCTATCCACTCTCAGTGTGCCTAAAGAGACCCTGCTGCTCCAAACCAGATTAAAAATTTTTTTCAATGTTGTGTCATCTCCAATGGCAGATGTTGAGCCGCCCTCTTTTACCAGTGGTTGCCCAGGGATAATGAGATATGCTGAAGCTCTGAACACAGACACCTACGTGCACTATACTTTGCCACAAGCTGCAGACAACTCAAATGAAGCAGTGGTAGTTGTAGGAGATCCTGCCCCAGGCTCTCGCTTTGATATCGGACTCACAAATGTCTCTGTCACAACAAAAGACACCTCAGGAAACGTTGGAACATGCACATTTCCTGTTACTGTTAATCGTGAGTAGCTTTTGTTTGTGTTTGCACTATTCATTAACTCATTCGCTACTTATTATATTGGGCTTGTGGATACATTTTTCTCGGGACGGCGAAATTAGATGATGACTAGTGTGCAGTTTAAAGGTCTTTGGGGCCACAAATTCAAATAAACATCAACATATTTATTATACACCAAAATTTTAATTATTATTTATAGAATACACCTGTAATGTTTATTTGTGTAAAATTCAACTTTGGTTCCTGTAACAGGCGATTATGCAACACAGTTTTGTTTGGATGCAGATAAAAGTTGAAAAAAAAAAATTAGTTTTCTTTGGTTAAACTTAAAAAATATGTTTGCACCTAGTCAAAATGATACATCAAAATAACCATAAATGAATAAAGAACTGAAAAATATTGAAAAATTTGCAGTTATTTACATATATCCCACAAAATTTGTACATTTGGATCATAACATCCGATATTGAAAAAAAAACACTTTTGTTTATAATCTTGAAAAAAACGACAAGATGCATTCACAAACATTAAAAAACATTAGTATCTTATATCAGTCGTAAGACGCTGTGTGCTATTATCAGCAACGAGGCTCGAAAGGCAAAAAAGTGACTTTCCATGAAATTTTTTGTTTTTTTGGATATATTGAAAGTTTGATGTCTTCTGCTTCATTTAAGATAAAAATAAACAACTATAATCGACTATAAATATTTTATTCTGATTTATTTTGGAGGTGTGTGTGGTTTGTTGTGGGATTGGGTGACGAGATAAAGGAATTTGGACATTTGCTAGTGTGTAGCTGTGAGAACCATTACCTTATGACCACCATTACCTCATGAGCACCTTTGCTTCAACGTTCTTCATTCGCAACTATTTTTAGATTTTGAGCCCTTTTCGAACTTGAATAGTCTGAAATGTAGGCAACTGATTGGTAAAACGGAGTAAAAGCGTTAACTTCTAGCTCACTCCAAGCCTGTTTACGTAAACAGCTGACTGTGTGGGCGTGCCCTTCTAGCTGTTGATCTTTCAGTTTTACACTTGGATTGACTTTAAAAATTCGTTTTTATTGTGTTTTAGTGCTTTTAAAAGATTGATTAACCCTCCTCTAGATCTCTCAAAGCGGACTCCTTACCAAGAGGACAGGGAGGCGTCTATGTGCATGTGTGTGTGTGTACGTGTGTTGGTGTGTTTGTATGCGTGTGTATGTATGTGTGTGTGTGCGTGCTTGTGTGTGTGTGTGTGTGCTCTTGTGTGTTCATGGTGCTATTGCAAACGTATAATTAGGTAGCGTAAACACGGCACGAAAGCCGACTGGTTGCCTTCCGAGCGCATGGTTTTCAGATCTCTGTTTCTTTGCTCTTTTACTATAAAACACCAAATGCTGAACACTTTGAAAAGGCTCAGATATTCTTCATTACAATAGTGTAAGTTGTTTGTATATATCCGACTATTTGGGGCTGGAGAATTGACATAGAAAAGGGAGCCCTTCGCGGTCGGAATGCGAGGTCGGCTGGTTCAAAATTTACACCCATGCATTCGAATGTTTGCATGTCTTTCCATTTTGTCGGAGAACTACATACAGCTTTGAGCCTGGTTTCTTGTGGTCATTATTTTTTGCCTTCTGCGAAACTACCGGTAGAACTCAGTACACTCAATGAGTCTACATAACAAGAGGGGACACTTCTCTCTTTGAGCCAATTAAAAAAGTGTCCTCAAAATTCGGTGGCGCCCTCTTCGCAAATGCGCACCCTTTGCGAACAGAGTTACCCTACTTGAGTTTTAAAAATCAAAGTGAAAGTAGCAAGTTTTTAAAATAAATTTCAGAAGAACGCTTTTTTAAAATGATTACGCTGACAAAAAAACCTCTTCCGGAGGAAAGGGTGATTGTTTTCTTCATTTAATTTGACTTTAGAATGAAAGGCGAGAGGTCATTAAAATTTTAAAAAACTAAAACTCAGCACTGAACGAATTCATAGAATTCTGTGATTCCTATTCATCTTCTGGAAAAACGAAAGAGAGCTTCAAAACAGACTGCAGCGCCATCTAAAGCAAAGAGCGGACTTCCGGCGGACACTTTTTTGGCTGAGTGGCCCATCTTATTATGTACTATCTTTGGTACACTACAGTATTGAGCCGACTCGTTCGCCGCCAGGGCTGGTGGTGCTGGCCGGGACAATGCACTGTGTTTTTATTTAAATAACGGCAGATCATCGTGTTTGAGGCAATAAAATACTGAAATGTAATAATCTCATAGTCACGAAAAAAATTTGGCTCCTTTTCTATGTTATATTGATTGTATTCTGTTATTGTGGAGATGTTTGGTGCACTTGGTACTCTGTTGGATTATCTGTCAAACATGGGGTTGCAGCCACTTAGCAATTTTAGCAATATTCGATTATATATTAAATTTAAACAGCTGCCATTTTCTTAAAATTTGACTGAGAGGTAAACGTATGGTTCCAAAATTCACAGGAGACACAGGCCTTTCATATGGAACAGATAAATTTGACATACAGCTACTAAAAGTTTAGTTTCTGGTACCTAGTGGGGCCTACAATGCTAACCCGTTGTTGCATTTGACGTGAAGACCATTCTCGTTAAAGTTGGTTTGTCCATAAGCTTTTTTTTTTCTGTGAATGAATAGTTTTCTACTTCTGTGTGTTACCTTGTAGTGGCATAGCCAAGATAACTGCCATATTTCAAGTCTATCTCAATTCTAAGACCCCAGTTGCTATGGAAACATATTGCTCAACTTCGGAGCCAGTTTTCTCCTTTTCGTGTTTCATTGCACATTGCACACTTAAAAGTTTTATATTTTTGTCAAATATTGTCTTATTTACTTCATTTTTTTACCAAATTGTAATGAAATGGTGATAGTTTTGGGAAATTATGTTAACTATGTTTTGAAATTTCCTTCATATGACTGATTTTGACCACGAAGGTCACATTTGTTTAGCACAATTCCCTCTCAGCAGTAAGCTCTATGTTCTTTACAATCTATATTATATGACTTTGATTCCCATGTAGGGAACTCTTTTCGAGTTCAATTTTTCTACTGGGATTAGTATCGCAAAGGAGGTCCTTGCCCTCAAAGGTCTTTTAAGGGGAAAATACACTAAAAAATGAACAAATAAAGCACCTGAAGTCGCCCCAAAACTGAAAGTGCTCCATAAAGAATGTTTTTTTTCAGGCATATTCTAATAAAAAGTGACCCTTACCTATAGTTTAAGCCAGTGGTTTTCAAACGTTTTTCGCCCACCGCCCCCTTTTTCACCCAGCCGAGTCCCAGCGCCCCCTACTCCGCCCCAGCCATCAATCTGACATAACGACATGCATAATATAATAACAATCATAAATAAAGAGAGAGCTCAAACAGCAGGGTAGAAAGTAACGTGCCTAAATTCTAATATTTTAGTTCTGAATATTAGTTGGGTCACAAATCACCATCTTTACAGTCCTAAATTAAGCGTGAACGAGAGATAATAAAGCACATTTTTCTTCAATCTTATGTAAGGGCATTGAGAGCAAAATACTGTCATTTTATGCATATAATTGTCATCGGTACTAAACGACCAGTGTTATTAACATCAATAAAAATAAAAAATGTATTATCACATTTACAGAAGCAAAACACCAAAAAATAACAAATAAATAAAAACGCCCATGATCATTGGTTTGAAAACAGATTGACATTATCTTTATGAAACTTTTCTCCCATCAACGTGCTGCAGTGTAGTGGCCTGAGATTTGTATCAAATATCTCCATTGTAGAAAATAAAAATATTATTAAGTTGTTCAAATGTGAGAAACCACACGAAAGAAAAAGTATGCATGAATCTTAGTCTGCAATTATCACCATCATCGTCAACATCATCTATCATCATCATCATCATCATCATCATCATCATCATCGTCATCATCATGTATCATCATCATCATCATCATCATCATCATCATCATCATCATCATCATCATCATGTTTCATCAGCAGTGGCAGCACGTGCACATAAAAAACTCTGTTAAACAAGTGAATGTTTTGCTTTAAAAAAAAGGAAGAAAAGAAAAGACACATTGAGATATCAAGTAAGGGTAAACTACGGAGTAAGCATGCGCAAATGAGTTATTGAAACTACCCTAATGGGAAGGATAGACATGCTAAGACGGAACCAACTTATCAACATCAGGTTTCAGATTGGTCAGTAGCAGGCGCAAATCTCTACGATTCGTCAGCAAACTTGTCACTGCACTGAATCCCCTTTCTACTAGATAGGAGGCGGGAAAAGAGATGAACAACAACTTGATCTTTTCCCACTTTAAGGGGCATTTGTCTTGCACAATAGTTTTCAACCAGAATGACTGGTACGGCTTTTTGAACAATTTTTTTGCCACCAAATTATGTCTGTGAATGACACAGTAAACAGTAAATACTCCATGGACTGATTTCTTCAAGAAGTTCATAAATCCACGTTTCCGACCTGCCATCGACGGTGTCTTTTCTGTTGCACAGGCAACTGTATTGGTCAGAGGGATCTGTTTCTCCTCGAAAAATTGTTGGACCAATTTGAAAATGGACTCGCCTTTGGTATCTGTTTCCAACATTTTCGCAAATAACAATTCTTGCATTATTTCCTTACCCTCTATGAACTGATATCCAATTAAAGGCTGAGCTCACGTCCTTTCAGCATGTTGCACTGTGATTCCTCAACATTTGCTGACATCTCATCAATACGTCTTTGAATGGTATTGTCACTTAGTGGGAGAACTTTCAACACAGGCACCGGGGCACGTTGCAGGACTGTGCTGACCACCTCTCTTATCGCAGGCAATATGAGATCCTCACCAATAGCATGGTGTTTGCCTGCCTTTGTAACTAGCTGAGATAAATTATGTGTTGCTCGTAAGCCTTCATCAGCTTGATCGACGTTGGCTGCAAACATCGGATTAACTGATTTTCATTTCTGAAAATTGATCTTTAGAGTTTTGAAGTATGCCAGATCTTTGTCAGATTTGTGTTGACGAATTTTCTTTA